TGAGAGAGAGAGAGAGAGACTCAAATCAAAACAAATGAGCGCAACAGCACACAAAGTATATCACAGAAAGTTATAGATGCATACTGCGCTAGAAAAAAAAGATATTTATAATATATGATATAGGTAAGCAACATTACACGACCAAGATGTTTTCCCGAATATCAGCACGATTGCAATGTGACTGATTTTATACAATTATAGTTCAATAAACAAGAAGTTAAAATTAAGTGTCTTACATTTTAGACACAATATTGACTGTTTTTGCTCAATTTTGCTACTGAAAATTGTTCCAATCAAAGCCACAGCAGAACTGTTGTGTCTCTGATCAACACAGCAGTGTTTCGTTACTGAATGAATCCACGTTTTTGAACGAATCGAATGAGTCGGTGATTCAGTAACCTATTCATAAAGAGTCGCTTACGTGTTTCTGAATGAATCAGCCGTTTGAACGAATCGGTTGAATGAATGACTAAATGACTCGATCATTAAAACAGTAATTTGCCGCCACCTACTGGTGCTTTGGTTTCATATTTAAAAGTATTGCATTTTCCCCAATGTTTCTTATCTGTATGTTCAAAAAATATCTAAAACATTAATCTTATAACATTATTTATGCATTTGCAATTTTGTGGTGTAAATGCATTTAATGCCACTTCAGATGCAGCTTCTGAGTTTGTTGATACTGATTTCATTTGAATGGTAACAACTCTACAGTGTCTTATTATTCTAACTGCATTAATTGATGAAATTTAAGAATTTGACGTGAAAGATGACATTTAATGAGGTTTGGAAAAAATCAATTTATAAACACCGTGGGAAATGACATCCGTTTTATGCAACTCATTTCTACCTCTTTCCAGTCACAGAGCACTTTATTTTGAGAGTTGTCTAAGTGAGAAAACATCTGTAACTTAGTGCGGTGTGGGGGAAATTGTAGCGTTTAACAATTTATTTTAAGTAAATAAAATTTTGCATTGAAAAAAGATTTTTGTTTGTATATGCTGTCAATTATAGTTCTTAGAAAAAAATCGGTGCATCTCTATTTTTTTTTAAAAATTAACAATTTTGATCCAGTGCAACAATTATTCCGGAAAATACGATACATTTTATCAGTTCATTGAATGACTAAATAAAATGTACCTTAAAACCATTGCAATATTCACAAATCATGATGTTTCTTAATTTTATATTGGCAACAAAATAGTCACGAATGTATTGCGAGTATTTGATATGTTGCACGGCTTTATGTCTGCAGTTTTGACATGATGCATTAATAGAGAAGGTGTTTCTTGTAACAGCTGGATGAAGGTTTGTTTTAACTGATTCTTGTCAAATGTTGATGCTTTGAAACAGGAACATCTGGGATGGGAGTCTTTCGGCGGAGACCATCTTAACCAAAGGCAGTCAGACTGTGACTATTGTGAGTAATGACCGATTTTAGAGCATTTAAAAAAAAATAATGTTTTGATGATTTGTTTTGTATGAATTTATTTCTTTGTTGCGACTGATGGGGCATTTTTACAAGAAATAAAAAAAACTTCATTTATTTTGTTTGTATTTATTTATTTTGTTGTGAGTATTTAATTGAATACTGATTTATTTATTTAGTTTATTGGGAGTAATGACAGATTTTGAAGCATTTCTACAAACGTTATATTTATCTAGTTTTTTTATTTGTATATTTTGTTTATTGTGAGTGACAAATTTTGGAGCATTTTTATGTATTTTTGTTGTTAGGACTGACATATTTTAGAGTATTTTTTTTTTACGGAAGTGCTTTGTTTATTGTGAGTAGCGGCAGGTTTTGGAGCATTTTTACAAGAAATAAAAAAAAATCTATTTATTTTGTTGTGAGTATTTAATTGAATACTGATTTATTTATTTTGTTTATTGTGAGTGATATAAATATATATATTATATTTTTATTTTATTTTTGTTACAATTTTTATATTTATTTAGTATTTAATTTGTTATTCGTTTCATTTACTAATATGTAGTTAACTTTTTTATTTATTTTTGTTATTTATTTTAATTTAATGCAAATTTTTTATTTTTAAAAAAAAATTCTATAACATTTTAAATTTGTTTCATTTAGTTATTTTAGTTTTTTTTTGTTTTTTTTCATTTATTTAGTGAAATGTAGTATTTATTTAAAAACAAAAAATATTTGAATACTTTATCACTGATCTTAATTCCATTTTTTTGGTTCCCTATTTTTATTAACAATTCTTTTATTACATTAAAAGTGCATATGTAACCATAACTATCCTTCACTATAACTCACTTGACCTCCTCAGTTTCAGCTCGCCGGCGAACCTACAGCAAAGGCTTCTGGGATTCATGCGGCCCGATGGTTCCAGCTCTCAGCAAGTGCAGCAGGAGCTCCAGAGGAAGTACCACAGTGAGTTTCAGTGTGTTTCTGTGTATCTGTGAGCGCTCAGGTGTTCACCATCTCCTCATGTTTGCTCCTCAGCGGAGGCTCAAGCGTATGAGAAAGCATCTCTTCAGGCCATGCAGCAGTTGATCCATCGCTCCTATCAGACGCTGGCGCTCTGGAAGCTCCTGTGTGACCATCAGTTCAGCCTCATCGTCTCTGAGATGCCCAAAGTACGACCCATCTCTCTCTGTTACCCCTCGTGCTTTCCGAGACTAAAAAGGGTTTAAGCATAAAAACAATAAGTGTAATACTGCTTTAAATTGTTGTTGTTTTTCCCAAAAAATGTTAAAAAGTTTTCTTTTTAATGTAATTGCAATTTTGTTTTTGTTCTTCCGAGCAAAAATTAAATATCATACATTTTCCCTGATTTACAGAAGAGACCCACTAAAATTAATTCAGTGTAACGATCGTGTCAGGCATATTTACAATTTATGACACATTAAAAGACTAATTACTTTCACCCCAAATACTAATTAATGTTTAAAATGTGCCACTATCCTAGGTTTTGCCCATTGGTCAGTAAGAACGTTTTACTCATTTAAAATTTAATATGCTCTCTTATTCTTTTATATATTTTAATATGTACAGGTTAGAATAAGCATGTTTGAATTTTTACATAAATATTGTGTTGCACTGAATGACATTATTTAAACCAAATTTTAACATTTTATCCTCCAAAAACTTATTTGAAACCTTAAAAGTAGACACTAACATTTAATGTGCTTTCTATGGACATTTGTGACCCTGGAGCACAAAAGCAGTGTTAAGTCGCTGGGGTATATTTGTAGCAATAGCCAACAATACATTGTATGGGTCACAATTATAGATTTTTCTTTTATGCCAAAAATCATTAGGATATTAAGTAAAGATCATGTTCCATGAAGATATTTTGTAAATGTCCTACCGTAAATATATCAAAACGTAATGTTTGATTAGTAATATGCATTGCTAAGAACTTCATTTGAACAACTTTAAAGATGATTTTCTCAATATTTAGATTTTTTTGCATCCTCAGATTCCAGATTTTCAAATAGTTGTATCTCAGCCAAATATTGTCCGATCCTAACAAACCATACAGCAATGGAAAGATTATTTATTTAGCTTTCAGATGATGTATACATCTCAATTTTGAGAAAATTGACCCTTAAGAGGTCACATATAATCAATTTCTTTTGATGCGAACATCTTAACGTCTTTGACCCATGAACACTGTTCACTTCACCGTCAAATTCTTGATGCACAAGCGTTCATGTGGTCTTCTTTCTGCGTCAGGAGTTTCAGGACCAGATTAAGGCGGTGAGTTTTAAAGATGTGGTTGTTTCTGGACTCGAGCTGAGTGGCGCTCTCATCACCGCCATCATTAACGTGTACATCAAAGACAGCGCGTGTGTAGACACCGTCAGCGCTCACCTGAGAGACATCTGCCCTCTGCTGTACAGCAGCGACGACAGCATCTGCTCCAAGGTACCTGTGCGTCTCAATGAGACTCCAGTCAGACTCGACACAAACCACGAACACATGGAGACACAAAACAAGAGGGAAAAATAACAAGGCAGCTGTGGGAAAGGAGTCACAGGGTTTTATTTACATTTAGTAATTTAGCAGACGCTTTTATCCAAAGCGGTGAGTTTTAAAGATGTGGTTGTTTCTGGACTCGAGCTGAGTGGCGCTCTCATCACCGCCATCATTAACGTGTACATCAAAGACAGCGCGTGTGTAGACACCGTCAGCGCTCACCTGAGAGACATCTGCCCTCTGCTGTACAGCAGCGACGACAGCATCTGCTCCAAGGTACCTGTGCGTCTCAATGAGACTCCAGTCAGACTCGACACAAACCACGAACACATGGAGACACAAAACAAGAGGGAAAAATAACAAGGCAGCTGTGGGGAAGGAGTCACAGGGTTTTATTTACATTTAGTCATTTAGCAGATGCTTTTATCCAAAGCGACTTACAAATGAGGACAATAAAAGCAGTCAAATCTAACAAAAGAGCCAACAATATATAAGTGCAAATGACAAGTCTCGGTTAGCCTAACGCAGTACACGTAGCAAGGTAGATATACACATATATATATATATTATACACGCACATAAATACACACACACACACACACACACACAAAGAAAAACAAGTAGATAGAAAAAAATAGAAAGCTAGTGTTTTTTTGTTGTTGTTTTTTTTTATCAAATAAAAAAAGAAGATAAAATATGAAGTAGAATTAAAATAGAATAGAAAGTGTTAGAGTTAGAGGGTCAAATAAAGGTGAGACACAGCTCACTATTAGTTAATTATTTAATATTTGGTTTATATTATAATATTTATTATTTACTCATTATTTATTTGGTTTAGTTTTGTTGTTGTTGGTTTTGTATGTATGCATTTTTTTTTTTAGTTTGTTTTTAATTTACTTTTTTGTTTTATTTATTTACTGATTTCAGTTTTTTTGTTGTTTTTATTAAAAAATTTTTATTTGTTCATTTTGTGTAGCTATTTTTTATTTTTATTTGGCTTATTTTTTATTTTAGTTTAGTTTTTAGTTATTAATTTATTTTAGTTTTTATTTTATTTATTACATTTATTTTGTATTTTATTTTTATTTAGTTTAGTTTTTTTATTTATTATTTTTTTATTTCAATATTTAGTTCTTTTTTTATTTATTGTATTTATTTGTTTATTTTATTTTTGATTTACATTTATTTAGTGACACTTACCTTTATTAGAAAAATTATTATTTAACGTATTTATTTTATTTGTGTACTTTTTTTTCACTCAGTAGATATACACATATATATATATATATTATACACGCACATAAATACACACACACACACACAAAGAAAAACAAGTAGATAGAAAAAAATAGAAAGCTAGTGTTTTTTTGTTGTTGTTTTTTTTTATCAAATAAAAAAAGAAGATAAAATATGAAGTAGAATTAAAATAGAATAGAAAGTGTTAGAGTTAGAGGGTCAAATAAAGGTGAGACACAGCTCACTATTAGTTAATTATTTAATATTTGGTTTATATTATAATATTTATTATTTACTCATTATTTATTTGGTTTAGTTTTGTTGTTGTTGGTTTTGTATGTATGCATTTTTTTTTTTAGTTTGTTTTTAATTTACTTTTTTGTTTTATTTATTTACTGATTTCAGTTTTTTTGTTGTTTTTATTAAAAAATTTTTATTTGTTCATTTTGTGTAGCTATTTTTTATTTTTATTTGGCTTATTTTTTATTTTAGTTTAGTTTTTAGTTATTAATTTATTTTAGTTTTTATTTTATTTATTACATTTATTTTGTATTTTATTTTTATTTAGTTTAGTTTTTTTATTTATTATTTTTTTATTTCAATATTTAGTTCTTTTTTTATTTATTGTATTTATTTGTTTATTTTATTTTTGATTTACATTTATTTAGTGACACTTACCTTTATTAGAAAAATTATTATTTAACGTATTTATTTTATTTGTGTACTTTTTTTTCACTCAATTTGTTTGGTTTTTAATTGAGTTGTTAGTTTTATTTACTAATAATTTAATTTTTGTTTTATATAGAGCGAAAAGTATTATTTATTGTTTTTATTTTGTTTTTTTTAGTAATTTTTTGTATTTAGTGTAGCTATTTGTTTATTTATTGGTTTTATTTAGTCTTTAGTAAATTTTTATTTATTCATTTAATTCTTTATTAATATTTTTTTTGTATTTTATTTTAAATGATTAAATTTTTTTTATTTGTTCATTTATTTTGTGTAGCTATTTTTTATTTTTATTTGGCTTATTTTTTATTTTATTTTAGTTTTTAGTTATTAATTTATTTTAGTTTTTATTTTATTTATTACATTTATTTTGTATTTTATTTTTATTTAGTTTAGTTTTTTTATTTATTATTTTTTTATTTCAATATTTAGTTCTTTTTTTATTTATTGTATTTATTTGTTTATTTTATTTTTGATTTACATTTATTTAGTGACACTTACCTTTATTAGAAAAATTATTATTTAACGTATTTATTTTATTTGTGTACTTTTTTTTCACTCAATTTGTTTGGTTTTTAATTGAGTTGTTAGTTTTATTTACTAATAATTTAATTTTTGTTTTATATAGAGCGAAAAGTATTATTTATTGTTTTTATTTTGTTTTTTTTAGTAATTTTTTGTATTTAGTGTAGCTATTTGTTTATTTATTGGTTTTATTTAGTCTTTAGTAAATTTTTATTTATTCATTTAATTCTTTATTAATATTTTTTTTGTATTTTATTTTAAATGTTTTCGTATAGCTAAGTATAGCAGCTTTTATTAACTTAAATTTTAATTCTATTTTCATTTTATTTTTTTTACTATTAACAGACTATTATTTGAAAAATAAAAGAGAAACTTTTTTTTGTATTCCTTGACCATAACTATGCTTTTTTTAAAAACTATTATTATTTTAAACCGTAAGCGGTTGAGAATCATGTCGTTATCCGATCTCTTTCCCTCCCGACAGGCCAATGAGCTTCTGCAGGGCTCCAGACAGATCCAGAGCAAGCTGGAGAAGGAGCGAACGCTGAAGGAGTCCCTGCGCCTCTATCAGCAGATCAGTCACCACACAGACCTGCCCCTCGTCTGCTCGCAGTACCGGCAAGGTGAGTGCAGAGTGAGCTTTAAACGATTCACCTGCTTTTATCGTTGTATAACACCCTGATCACATTCTGTGCTCGTCCAGTGCGCTTCTATGAGGGAGTGCTGGAGCTGTGTCTCACAGCCGCTGATAAGAAAGACCCTCAGAAGCTGGGGCTGCACTTCTACAGGAACGGAGAGCCGGAGGAGGACTCCAGCGGCCTGCAGGCCTTCCAGCAGCGGTCAGTGCACACACACACTTCCTTTTAGGGATGTAACGAGTCACGATTCGATTCAAAATTAGATTTAAGACCAATTATAAATTAAACGTGTCCTTTTATTATTGCTTGGACAAAATGCTGCACGTTTCTTTGTGAAATTTAAATATAACACTATAATAATATACTAATATAGCACTTGCATATTGTTGTTCTTTTGTTGATTTTGATCGCTTCTATTGTCCTCGTTTGTTAGTCGCTTTGGATAAAAGCGTCTGCTAAATAACACAATATAATGTAAATGTAAATAACAAAACTACATTGACATTTTAAAACAAGCCCCAAATCAAATAAATAAGTAACACAAATAAAATAAATATCATCTTATAAACAAACTAAGGCTTTGTCTTGTGCTCTTAACATTTAATATCAGAGGCTAACACTGCATTTTAATCACGATCCAAACACAGATGCTGCATGCGTGCAACACGAGCAGTTTTTAATCTAAATTAGACTGTATAGTTTCGAAATTTGAAGCAAAAACAGAATGATTTGATTTCAGTTTTGTGAAACTATACATAAAAATATCTGCATGAAACAGCGACGAGCTGAACGAGACGCAGATGCACTCTCTGCCAGCAGGTGGCGCTTAAAGCGTTTCCTGGGTTACCGCTGTAAACAAAGCAGCGCTGCGCTTATGAACAGCAATGATGCAGCGTTTCCTGGGTTACCGCTGTAAACAAAGCAGCGCTGCGCTTATGAACAGCAATGATGCAGCGTTTCCTGGGTTACCGCTGTAAACAAAGCAGCGCTGCGCTTATGAACAGCAATGATGCAGTGTTTCCTGGGTTACCGTTTCCGCGGTTAATCGTTACATCCCTAGTTCTTTTACAGGATCCTGAGGTGCTCATGTGGGATTTGCAGGTTTAAATTGGGCTGTAACTCTTGTTTTTGTCCAGGCTCTGCTGTTATAAATGCATCACGGACACCATGCAGGAGCTGGTGAACCAGAGTAAAGCGGCCCCTCAGTCTCCCAGCGTCCCTAAACAACCCGGACCCCCCGTCATGACCTCTGACCCCAACATGCTGAGCAATGAGGACTCTGCCGCTCATGTGAGTCACACGCTAGAGCTTCATATGCTTCAGTTTGAACCTGTGAGATGCTGTTATTTATATACTACTTGTAGTGCTTGCTAATATTTAGAATATTTCTAATTAGCTTTAATCCCCCCCCATTTTGATAGTTTTAGTACTTCAACTTTTTTAATTTAGTTGCCAAGGAAACATTTCTAATGTTTAATTTTTTCCTCTTACATTTTTATTGTTAGTTTATTTCAATTTTTTGCCTTTTTTCAGTTTGTAATTTTAATACTTCAACTTTTATTTCAGTTAGTTTCCAAGGCAACATTTCTAATATTTAAGTTTTTCCTCTTTATATTTTCATTTTCATCATAATTATTATTATTTTTTTATATTCCAGTATTTCCTCTAATATTTATATTTTCATTGTTTTATTTATATTTCTAGTTTTAGCCATTTTAGTCAACATTTCTAATGTTCAATATTATATATATTTATTTATTTATTTATTTATTTTTTCATCGTTTCCAAGGCAATGTTTCTAATGTTTTTTTTTTCCTTTTAATAATTTTTATCGTTTTTTATATTTCTAATTCGTTTTAATAGTTTTTGTACTTTAATTTACATTCATGTCAGTTGTTTAAGTTTTTCCTCTTATAATTATAATTATTATAATTATTTTTTAATATTCCTGTTCAAGTTATTTATTCAGTTTGTCATTTTAGTACTTAAACTTAATTTTTTTGAAATGTCAATTAGTTTCTAAGGCAATATCTCTTGTTTTTTCATCAAATTATATTTTCATATAATTTTTTTTTATTATCTTTATTATTATTTTTTATTTTTAGTCATTACTTCAAGTCAAATAAAAGATTTTGGGTAGTTACCAAGGCAACATTTCTAATGTTTATTGAACATTTTTCCTCTATTTATATTTTTAACTTCACTTCGCACAAGTATAGTCTGAGTTGAAGTTGTCAGCATCAGCATCGGTGGATTATCTCTGATCCTGACTGGTTCTTCCCTCAGTTTGAGCAGATGCTGGGTCTCGCTCAGAGATCTCAAGACGAGCTCTTCCACATCGCGCTCTATAACTGTCTCATTCAGGCCGATCTCACCGACAAACTCCTGGAGGTACCAATGATTGCATGCACAGTTACTCCTCATAGCCTAAAGTCTCTCTGCTCGAAGTGTTTAGGACGTTTTCTCCTCTGCTCCAGGTGAACTCGCTCTACCTCGAGGATCATCTGATGCACATGATCAAACAGGACCAGAGTAAAGTGCGTAACATGGATCTTCTGTGGCGATACTACGAGAAGAACAGAAGCTTTGGCAAAGCGGCACACGTTCTGGCGCGGCTAGCAGACATGCACAGGTATAGTGCTGCTTATAATAGTTCTCATAACTATGCATGTAGATATTTAAATTCCTGTTGCTGGATACCTATATGCACCCAGTCTGAAGGGTTTGTGTTGGTGTTGTGTGCATGCAGCACGGAGATCTCTCTGAAGCAGCGTCTGGAGTACATCTCCAGAGCCATCCTCTCTGCCAAGAGCTCGTCCTGCGTCTCTTCACTGGGAGCCGACGGAGAGTTTCTGCATGAACTGGAGGAAAAGATGGAGGTACTGAGAGAAAAACAGCTGAAGACCTTTAGTGGAGAGCTGCACAATTTGGGGGGAAAGTCTAATTGCAATCGTTTCTGATTAGAATTAAATTTTTTTTATTTTTTTTAAAGCTTCAAAGTGTTTGTAGGGCTGCACAATTTGCCAAAAAATTTTACATTTATGTCAATATGATAAATGAGTAATTATTAGGGATGCACCGTGTTACGACACAAAACTTCTTTGATTTGTCTAGAAACATTAAGGGAATGTAACATTCACAAAACTCTATAACCAAGTTTCAAAATCAAA